AGCAGGGTGTAGCATGGAAAATTTCAAGCTCCTTAGAAAAGCAATATGCCACCATGAGGCATCTGCGGTAGAAACGGCAGCACGGAGGTTTTAGTTAGAGAGAAGCCTGTCAAGTGGCATGGAAGAAATCCAGAATTCCTGTGGGGTCCCGTGGAGGATGCAGAAGGCTGCTGAGAGTTAAAAGGCAGCATACCTACCAGGCACATGCTGTGGCATAGGGCGAACAGCCTCAAAGTCAGGGGCTGGATGGAGGATATGGCTGAAGTTTAGAGAGTTAGCACACCACTAGGAGCTGAGGCAGGAATTCTGGACAGTAAGTAAGGAGAGACGGCTGAGCTATCTGACATAATGATTGTGAATTGCCCATGCTGAGAGAATAAGCCGTAAATTACGGACATTTAAGCAGTGGATAGAGTGAGACAAAATGAGCTACACTTCAGCCAGGATCCAGCAGAGGTTATGGGGCTCAGATTTCCCCTCCTCACTGCCATGAGTGAGTTTGAATTTTAAATCGAATATTTGCACAAAGGGACTTTTAATTCAAACACATTTTTATATTTAAATTGACAATGTTAATCCTCACCCTGCCTAACCTGTGCCACCAGGCAACTGGAATAGGTGCTTCAGAATATGATGAGATTAGTTATAGAAAAATAACTATGTGTTTATAATTAAATTTGGAGGTGGAGCACAGTTGTAGTACATACATTTTCATACACTATTGTATGCATAGATGATAGTAGATGAAGTCTTTAAGGAAGAGAGAAAAGAGAAAAATAAGTAAAGATTCTCTAAACTACAACAGACACCTTCATGTTTTGGTTGCTCATGACTCCTCCAACTGCCCCAAGTAATATTCTTTTCAATCATTTCCTCCCTAAAAAGCTTTCCTTTCTAATCCTCAACTAGTTATCTTTGTTAATTCTTCCACATTCAGTATAGATATTAGCATATCTAAATCTCATTAAGGAGTTTGCATAACTTTGTCTCAAGGAAATAGGTAGGAAAATGACATTCAATTAATTTGCACTGCAGTTGACAATAGAAGGTATAAATGAAACAACTAGAAAACAGCCCAAAGTAGATCATGGTACTTTGGCTCATTAACGTGTTCATTAGGTAAAGAAAGGATTCAGGAAGGAAGGATCTGTTTTGTAACCAGGAAAACAAAAGCTGATTTATCAATTTGAATTGAAAAGTAGGTAAAGAATTTCAGTATTGATTCACATATTTATTCAAATGTAAAAGAGAACTCATCACCACCTCCACCACCACCACCACGTGTTATATGTGTACAAGGTTAGATCAAAGTGGTAGCTAATAATATTACATTCTGCAGTTGTTCAGGGATGACAGTTGAGAAAGTTTGATGACAGAGGATAAAAATAACACTTGTTTGGGCATAAATGGAAGTTCTTTTCATTGAACTATGTGAACGTTCCTCATCTTACCCACAGCCCCAGAAACTGAAGAAAGTAATTTTGCAACATTAACAAATGTTCACTACCTCATCAAATTATAATGATTCTTTTTTCTGAAATGAAAAATAACTATATTGTGAACATGAGAATAAATTGAGGTAATGATCAAATAATTAGTAACTATTGGATTTAATTCAATTTCCAGTTTTACCACAGAGTAAATAATGTGCATAACCTTTGTTCAAGTAGATTTTCACAATTGAATAACAAAGCATTTGACAAGAGTTAGTTGACAGCAATTTAGAGGCAGATGCAGAAGCAGAAATGCTTACAGTTTAAATGTGCTTTGTTGATAAAGAGACTATGGCCTATTTACCTTTTTTATTTAAAAGAAACGTGGAATCTTTAGCTCCCAGCTTGACAGTCAGTTACAAAAAGCAGAAGGCACCTTAACGTTTCCTCTGGAGGGAATTATCACTACAGTCCAGTATCAGCAGTGGGTAGAAACACATGTGCTCTATCATAATTTGACCTTTACACTCCAAGTCAAGAGAGTCCCAGGCAAGGTCAGTTTTCCGATCTACTGTGCATTTTGCATAGATGCAAAAATAAAAAAAAAAATTCACAGAATTTGATCTGTGGATTTCATTCATGTTTGAATGAAATATGTTTATTTCTATGCTGATGACTTTGCAAGAAAACAAGGCCAGGAGAGGCATTTCCTCAAAGGCTAAAAAGAGGCATTACCACCACAACTACTACTTGCCAGGGGATTTGCAAAGCATCTTGAGGCTCAAGGTTAGTATGGGAGGTGAGCCAGGCTCAGGAGAAGTTAACACAGAGAACAATGTTAGAGTGTTTTTCCCCCTTTTAGCCAGCCAATGCAACAAAGTACTTCCAATAGTAACTCCTAGTGGTCAGGTAATAATGTATTTTCTTTAATAGTCATGTTTAGGTTTGTCTATTTCCTTTATGCTTGTGAGGTTTGGAATGGGAATTTAAAATCCTTGGGGGGAGCTATTTTTGTAGTTCAGCTGGGATGCCCTTGTCTTAGGGTTTCCCATTGCATCAGTCCCTTAGCCTGGTATGATAGCCATGATAGTGCTTTGTCTTTTAGATGAAATGCAGAACTAAGGACATGACTACTGGTGCTTATTAAAGATTCCTTGCTATTTTCACAAGAGTAGGGGCGTTACACTCTTGTCTACTGGCCAATTTCTAAATCGGGAGATTACATTCTGCTTTCCTAAATTCCCCTAGCAGAAGCAGCCATCCATGGTATCCTACTTTGCTTCCTGTGCTAAACTGCTGTGTGATGGCATTAAATGGCACTGGTTTTCTACTATAGATGTGTTCACATCTTAGTGGAGTGGCGCGTAAATTGGTACCTATTCTCTGATTATATTTGACCCAATTTCAAACAAATTAAAAGGTAGGCTCTGATAATTAAGAATAAAGTACAAAACAAAACAAAACACCCTAACAGTGTACTAGTTGTTATGGAGCATTTTTTTTTAACCAATCTGCTTTCTCTTCTGCAACATAGACAAAAAACATTTAATGCATTTTTCTTTCACTCCACTAGTGGTTGACAATGAATTGTTATTTGCCTCAAACAGGAGGATAGTTCTAATAGTGATGATGAGGTTTGAGAGGATATCACATATCACAAACCAGTTAACCAATCTCTTTTGTCTTCAGGTTGCATCTAACTATTTTTGACAGTTCATCTATTTCATAAAAACTTTTTAAGGAGATTCTTCCTCTTTCCTTGGTAACGTATTTTAGTGTTTCTCAATCTTTCCATAAAAACTAAGTTCTTATTTTTGTTTAACCTCCAGTCCACCTACTGTAGTTTAATGTCACCATCTTTTATCCATCACTAACCTTGCTATCATATACTGGTATTGAGAGGCAGTATAGCACAATGGCATGGTTTTTGGAATCAGACATGCCTGCATTCAAATCCTGGCTTTGTCACTTTCTAGGTGTGTGATGTTGGGCTAGTTACTTCTGAGGTTCAATTTCCTCATCTGTAAATGAGCAAACTCAGAGGGTTACTATGAATGTCAAATGAGATAATATATTATTTTCAAGGGTTATGAGTAAGACGAGGCATGGTACTTGGCACCCAAAAAGTGCTCAATAAATAATAGCTATTTATCTGCTTATGTACATAGATCTGACTTAATTCATAAACTCTTTGAGAGTGAGAAGCATACCTCCTGGATTTCAACATAAGTACAGTGTTGTGCACTAGGTACAGAGGCTCAATATTTAATGAATGAATAAACTTTTTTTTTTCCTGAGTGGGATGAACAGCCCTCAACTAAACAAGATCTCACACATTTAGCTCAAAGGTGACAAAATCAATCAATCTTCTGTTGTCTCCAAATATGCAGATACCTGACTTTGTCTAGATGTTATGACATGGTATAGACACAATACAAATAACTTATACTTTCTTTTTCTATCAGCTTCATTTCTATGAATTTTAACATTTGATTATTGTCTTAGGTGCCCAGAATGAGACTGACTTAATCATACACCTTGTCATCCATCCAAGCATTCTTTGAGAATTTTTTAAATGAACACTATCTAATTATATACCTGAACAAAATCTTTCAACTTGTGACTAAGTACACTACCTGCCCTATTTACCTGTAAGATCTGTGCTGACTACAGATATATGAATAATTGCTTTGTTCCCAAGCCAAAACAAACAAAAACCCTATAACCCACTGCCGCAAGATCCAGAGCAAAATTAGCATCTCTAAACCAGGGAGGTGTTGGTTAGGACTTTATTTTTCGCCTTTAAATGTTTTCATGGGGCTAGGAGGGAAAGTGGGGAAACAAGTGGAGGATATGTAGATTCAATTGGGCTTGAATATTTGTCCATAGGGAAAGAGTATTGCTCTTCTACCACAATCTTGGAAAACCTCTGGTGCGTGCTTAGATTGGTATTAAAGCCACCGCCGTGTGGCCATTTCGCCCACTGCTTCGTACACACTTTACAGGCGCGGTCTCAGGTGTGGAGCTCCGAGCACCTGTGCTCACACTCGGGCAGTTCACAAACCAGTGTATTTGAGGCCGGTGTCTCAGGTTCCATATAACTCGGCTCAAGTGTCACTACCACTATGTGCAGCGCTGGTCATCGAGCTGTGCTTTGGGACTTGAGTACTCTACTTTGGACTTTCTTCCTTTCCTCCCTTCTCCCCCCCAACTAGTTCCCCTCCTTCCTCCCCGGGGTGTCCAACCTCCTCCCTTCGCTCCCACTCTGCTTTCTCGTTCTCCTTTCCTTCTCCTTCCTTTCTACTGGGCTTCCCGTCTCGCATCCTCTGCGGGCCGCAGGGCTTGAGGCTGCGGCTCAGAGGAGGCGCGAGTCCGGCGGGACAGGCGCGAGGTGCCGAGTCGTGAAAGCGCGGGGCGCGCGCCGAGACGGGGGCGCGCGTGGGGCAGCCGCG